CAGTCTGCAGAAGCTTGGCAGAAATATTCCAGCATGATAATTATCCAAAGCACACTGCCAAAGTTCTGACCGAATATGTCACTTGATTTGAATCCAATAGAACACTTTTGGGGTATTTGAAAGGGAAAGCAACACACCCTCTCCAGCAAGAAGCAGCCTGAAGAAAACTGTCACCTAAAAATGGTAGAAAATCTCTAGAATTTGGGTATCTTCCATTCGAAAGAGGATTGAGTCAGTCCACAAAAATAAAGGTGAGCATATAGAGTACTGAAATTATAAAAGATTGAAATCTAATAATTTCATTTTGTTTAGCTCCTCCTGTGATGCTTCTTTTTTTAATGCAGTAAATCTAAAATATGAATTTTAAAATGTACATTAGAGTAAATACTCAGCAATGTTAAAATTACTGTTTTTTTGTTTGTTTATGTGATATTGCGCATTCTCACTTCTGTTGGATACTGTATATTCTTTCTTTCTCAAGCTTTTATCCAAAAAACAATATTTTACAGAAGAGGGTGCACAGTGGGCAGCCATGTTTGCAATACTGGATTAAATTCTGTGAAAGAAAAACAAGAAAAAAGCACGAGGAGAAGGAAGCGCTATACCAACAGCTCCCAGAGGACAGCCCCGAGGTAGGTGCTACATTACAAACTAATAAGCTTGTGCAGAAACAACCAAATATGCACACAACAAACACACACAAGAACACATTTACATTAGCAGAGCAAACTAAAGCTTCCTCTGGCAGCTCCAGTGGAGTTTATTATGCAGCGTGTGCTGCAGAGAGATAACCAAACGATGAGAGATTTCAAATGAGCCTCAAGAAAATGAGCGAATGAGGTTCTGAGTGCTGGTAGTAATAAAATGGTAGTGTGAGGGAGGCAAGGAGGAGGAGGGCGGGATGAATGGGGTAGAGGACATTCGAGGCAAGCATAGATGGAAAATGCAAAGGGCCAGAGAGCTGCTGGATTTAGAAACAGAAATTCAGTCCTGCATTTAGAGTGGCAGAGGGTGACAGGAGGGTAAGATAAGGTAGGCAGAGAGAGTATTTCTGTGGGGAGACAGACATGATAATACAGATGGAACAGTGCAACCACAGCACATACATATAAATACTGTACAATCATCCATAATACAGCATATGCGCACTTGCTTATTTTTTGCATTTCTCCATGCAATCTCCTTCCTGATGCAACCTATTTACCGCTCAGTAGTCTAACAGACTTCGCAATTATGTGCCTCCGTTGTGCTTTGGCATCTGTTTTTAACAATACTGTTTTAGAATACTGAGACATTTTCCATTGTTTTGGAGCTGTACAACAGCTCATTGGGTTTGAAATGAAACAAGACTTTAGGACTAAAATGCTAGCTTTCAGCTTTAATTTGAGGGGGTTTACATCCACAATGGGTGTAAAACAGCTAACATTTTTTTAATACACAGTCCCCTTATTTTGGCACAGTGGAGCCGGATAATGACACTTAACAAACAGATAAAGCACCCATGGAGTTTTTTATGACCCTGGAGGAGTGTTCTTGACTGGTTAGTTCAGTTCAGTCACATGAGCTCAATCCACCAGTTCATTTGTTTCACCTGCTAAAAACACACTGAAGGCAAAAAACCCTTAAACAAGCAAGAAGTGTAGAAGGCTGCAGCACAGGCCTGCATAAGACATTGTCATGGAAGCAACTGATATCTGTGGGTTTGAACTAAACAGAAGAATTTGACAACATCCATCTATCCATTTTCTATGCACTGCTTTATCCTCTGTAAGTCGTGGGAGGCTGGAGTCTATCCCAGCTGACTTAGGGTGAAGGCAGGGTATATGATGGGCAGGTCACCAGTCCATCACAGGGCCACAGAGTGACACAAACAAAACAAGCACACTCACATTCACACCTATGGACCATTTAGTATCACCAAGCAACTTATTGCCTGTCTTTGGACTGTGGGAGGAAGCCGGAGCTGACAGCAGCATTTTATAGGAAAATTCACCAAAACTACAACTCTGCTCTTATTTTGCAATCTTTTACTCTTCAGGTAAATGATAATATTGTAACTGCCAGAGTAGTTGGTGAGCTTCAGGAATACAGTGGTAGTGATACTAAAATGAGCAGTCAGATGGTCTGACAGATTGTAGACACGTTTAACATGTTATGTAAACCAATCTGGGTGTAAAACTAAAAGCGGGTGCACTCATGTCTTCAGTGATGTGTCTGCACAAAAAAAACTGTGAGCATACAGGTATGGTAAGTCAAAGGTAAAACAGAAGATTAATCTGTGAACTTCCATGGATGACAATACAGTGTCCTTTTTTCTGTATTCCAAATAAGATAAGAAAGAATTCTGGCAGAATTGCAGCCTCTTTGATTGCCTGACTGCTCTCATTTCTTGCCTTGCGAGACCTCTTTTAGGTTATGTTGTCATCTTCCTACATCTTACAGCCATACCATCCTAAACACACTTAATTTCACAAGCTAAATACACTTGGCGGTTAGTCGTATTATTACTAACAGGAATTAAATCAAATCTCCCAAAATAAGCCCGTGTGCAATCAACTAGAATTCCCCATTAAAATGGCAGCGACATTTAAATTCATCCCACTTCTCCAGTTACTTTTGGCTCCTTAAGACTGAGAGACTGTATAAACAAGGCTACAGTGCTCATCTGATGTGGATGTAAACTCTTTGTTTGACTGTGTACAGTATCTTGGCCTGCTATGTTGTCATACATTTTGCTGACTGTGTATAAAAACTGTTAGTAGTACAGTGTTCACTCAGTATGGATGAGGAAGGACAGCGCTTCAACCTCACAGTCATTTCTTTTCATTTTAGATCTGATGACCTGGATTACAGAATCAACAAAACAATGAGTCACTGCCAAACTACAGACTGACAGAACTGTGTCTGTCCTGCAGGGCCACTACTGTACCTCTGTTGGCAAACGGTAAAAGGAGAAAGAAGGTAGAGTAGTGACTGTTTCAAATTCACTGTCCAGTCTGTTTGTAATGAGGAAAAAATGCAAATGGAGTTTTATTGCAGCTTATGTGTTGGTACAGTATGCATTCAGTGTCTGAGGGTGTGTTTGTAGATCTTCACGAGTCGCTGTGTGGATACATGTTTTTTACTGGGATAACAGTGTGTCATAGTCTGTTACAGAATGAGTTCACTTCAAAGAGAACCCGTCTGTAGCAGGGAGTCTGTTCTTCCTACTGTATGCATCTACACCTCACACAAACACCTTTTTTGTTGCACTTCAAAGTGCATGCAGACAATCTGTTCTCTCGGCAAATACACATAGAAGCGCGCGCACACACACACACACACACACACACACAGAGCTAATTATTCAATCGCCAACTCTGAACGCACAAACAAGTAAAACATTGAAAAACTGCTGCATGTCAGGAATATTTCTTGGCAAGTAGACTGTAAGAATACAGGGGAAAAATGACTGAAGTGTGTGTGAGTGACAGTGTCTGTGTGTCACATGAATAAGGAAACGGTAGTGACAGAGGAGGAACAAACATGCCTCAGGTGGTGTCCAAAGTTTTTATGCTAAGAAATTTTTTCTGAACACTGTAACGTACCATGTACGAGTAATGCAAATATTGTAAAAAATATAACTTTGGTCAATTATTTCACAGAAAACCAAGCATGTTGACTTCTTTTGTAGTGAAAAAGGAAAAAATGAAACGAAATGAAGAACAATACACAGTATTAGTAATAGAATTTGCATATAGATAGTAAAACAATTTCTAGATAGATTACAAGCAAATTATATCGCAGCACTATGTATTAAAATCGGCTATATACGGTATATTTCTTGGTTACTGCAATCATTCTGTGTTTAAAGTCTATGATCTCAATGTCCCTTTGTAACTCCAACTGATGCTCCCATGATCTTATACCAGCAGTTTCATAAAAAATCCCATTCCATTCTCAAATTCACAACTGTGTCACTCAGATTTAAAGGCCTCAAAATACAACATTACTTGTGTTTTGTCTACATCACAGATTAAATCCAATTCTCTGGAGTCTCTCGGCAGACGGCTCGGGGCATCCATTTTGTTTGTTTGTTTTCAGAAGCAGTTCAGCTGAGATTTATCAGGAACCCCCGCTGAGAAGCACAAAACCCGCCCCGCTGCCCAAGCTCAAAGTCTGCCCTCACTTCACGCATAATGTATGACTACTCACTGTGGCCTGAAAGAGAGAAGAGGCCTACAAAGGGTGACAAAAAGAGAGGGGGTAGCAGCGAGGAGAGGGGGCAGTGGAGAATGCAAAGGGGGCGAGGACATTCTCTGGAAAAATGAAATCATTATGTTTGGTGTCAGTGTGACCACCTTGTCCAGTGACGCTTCTGCAGAGCCCCAGAGGGACGGGAAGAAAATCTTTAGAAGGGAAGAGGAAGAAACATGCCTATTTTTGCATTTTCTGGGCAAAATTCTGACTGTTGCATTGACTTTTTTTTTTGCTGTGAAGCGTGTATTTTCAATATCATCTGTGATAGTGCAGTTTCTCCCTGAGCATCTCATACAAGGGTTTTCCAGATATTTTATTATCTCTATACAGTATATAGAACATAATAACAAATAGTAATACTGGGCATAATTCTACGTGTTGGTTTCTCCTGTATTCATAAGATCTACTGACACTGTTTAAATCTTTCCAGCCTTTCATCTTTAATGATTGCTGTTGGAAACATTTCTGGCCCTACCTGTAGAGAATCATGACTGTTTTTAGGTGCAGCTGAATAATAATATCCAAGGTTCAGACAATAAACATCATAAAATCACGATAGCATATAGGTCAAAAGTTTTTTGAGAGAATGTATAAGTGACTTCTTTGTTCCCTAAAATGTTACCGTCTATGTCTCTTCCAGGGTTTTATACTATTAATACTAAACACAGCAAAAAGCAGAGCAAGAATGAGGAAATCAAGGAGCAGGAAAGCAGAAAAAAAAAGCAGACAGAGGAGAGGAGGAGATGAAAGCTTGTACTTACTGAGCACGTAGAGGGAGAGAGCGAGGCCCGCCAAGCAGAAACCCTCAAAGAAGCGCAAGGTGCTGAACATGGTGACATTTACAGAGAAGGCAACACTCAGACCAAACACCAGCATGAAAAGCACCGAGAGAATCAACACCGGGTGCCGACCAAACCTTTGAGACAGAGAGAAAGACAAAAAGAATAAGAATCAGCAAAGACTTAAAAAAAAAAAAAAAAACTGTCACAAACTGGGAGAGAAACATCTGATGTGTAGTCGAGCGAAAGAGATCATTGTACTCATTGTTTCCTACAGACTCAGAAGACTTCCTGGTCTAAGGGGGGTCAGTGGGTCAGTGGGTCAGGTCAGGGCTAAGGACTCGCTGGCCCGCATATTTCTTTACATTGTTTCCATGGGTACTGATCCCTAGCACAATGCAGGGACTTTTTTCCCACGATGCAGCTCAGGTAGCTCACAAACTGCAGACGTGATCACAAAGAATTTGATGGAAAGGGTCAGTTTGCCCAAATGCTGATAGTTTGGATGTCCAGGTTTTAAGATACTTCTTTCTCCGCTACAAAATTCGTTACACATAACTTTCTCCTGGTAGCTGTGGATTAACCTCAGACTTCACTCTGAACACCTCTCCTTGGAACTACTAACAAATTGTCCCTACTAAGACAGTTGCCAGTATGGATTGTATTACGAAGTGGCAGTGACGCTGTTTCTGGGATGAGATCTAGGGATGGCATTATTGGCCATCTGATATTTGCTGAGATATTTCAGTCTAGATCATCTGACCAGATGGCCAATAATGCCATCCACAGATCTCATTCCAGAAACAGCGTCATTGTTGCTCCATAATGTAATCCACCTTAACTGGCAACAGTTTTAGCTGGGACAGTTTCTTGGAGGTTCCAAAGAAAAGTGTTGATCTGGGCTCAAATATGTCAACGAATATCACATATCAGACAGATTGCCCTGAAATGTGGTACAGACGTTAATTGTCACAGAAGGATGAATTCTAATGACTTGATTCCTTGACTTAGAATCAAGTGCTACCATTAAGTATGTCTTACCTAGTGAAATATCTAACATATCTACTATAAAATTTCAATTTAATACAAATTTCTGGGAGAATAAATTTGGTTTCTACATTTAAACATAACCCCGCGACCCCAGTGAGGATTAAGTGGTGTATAGATAATGGCTGGATGGAGTTAAACATAACAGTCAGAGGTTAAATTTGTCCATAACTTTAGTTTATAAACTAAATACCTGCAAAACTAATGACCTTCACACCTCAGTCTGTCTTTTGAGTCTACTGTGAATTAGCAAATGCTAATTAATTGTATTAATTAATAATTTGCTAATTAGCTTTTAATCAGCATAAAAAAGTCCATTCTCTAATTGAGGTGAAGACACAAATATAAGAAACAAGTATCTCAAAAGCTAGAAACCCACAGCTAATTGTGCTGTTAGATACCACTAGTGATGAGAATATATGCTCTTTGTGATGTTGGTGAACTGATTTAGCAACCTTTGTTGTGACAACATTGTATTCTTCAAGTTAACTGAAGAGATATGGGAACACAAAGACATGCGACAATATCTAACAATGCAGAAAACAAGGTGTAAAGAAGGCACTGTTGATTGACATGATCTAAACCATTTTATTTGAAGGTAAAACTGAAAGTGAAAGCCAAATGTGAGTAATAATCCTGTGTAGGCTACACTTTGGATGGTGTCTAAATGTTGAAGCGGCAAGCAAGTCTGCAAATTGGAAAAATAATAATCATAATAATAATCAAATTGGATAGGTGTTTGGGTAATCATTTTTCTTTTTCTCTTCACTTCACTTGCTTTTCCTGATATGTTTGGCTATCCTGGAGGTTTACTTTCAGCCTGTTTGATTGCTCATATTTCTTGCCACATTGGGCTTCTCTGTAGCAATGTTGCTGTATTCCAAGATCCCTGCAGATCATTTGGTGAGTGTGATGTTTTCATAACCACAAAATCAAGATTTGAGTTGTAAAACTGGAATTATCCTCTAAAACTAACAAAACAGAAATGGAGGAGGCGGCGTACCAGTCAGCCATGACACCCATCACTAGGTAGCCAAATATGGAGCCCACAAGCAAAGAGAACTTGGCAATGTGAACCTTCCAGGCAGAGTCACACACCAGGTTCCACTGAAACAGACAAAAAACAAGGAGAGAGGAGCATTAGTCTACTGTTCAGAGAAATCCACCCACAACAAGATAAAAGGGAATTAAACATCTCGACCCGAATCACTTATAATATGAAAGCTGCACAGAAACAAAAAGAAACGTGGGCTTCTCTCATCAGAATTCCGTCAAACTCTATTCGCTCTATGACTCATTGTGTTGATAATTCATGAAGTCTGATGAATGTGCAAACATTCTACGGACGCTTTTGAAATATTGAATACGTTCATCCTGAAAGTAAAAGAGAGAAAACGCAAGCATATATGTGTGTGTGTGTGTGTGTTTGAGACAGAGAGAGAGAGAGAGAGAGAGAGAGAGAGAACAAGCAGCATGTGTGGGAATGTGGGCGCGTGTCTATAATAACAGAAATCAATAGTTTCCCACTCTTTCCTCTAAGCCCATGGGTCAGTGCACACGCCACTGCAGCTCTCAGCATCTGAAACTCAGCCAAGGACACATGTGGAAGCACGATGTGTACTCCATGTTTGTGCACAACCCTGAAAGTATCTGCAAGAGCCCAGTGGACCGATTCAGCTGTGTTTGAAAATAGTGTTAGTGTGTAACAGGAATTTACAGAACTCCCTGCTGAGCCTCCAACTGTGCAGAAACAGCAGAGAGGAGGGAGTAGAAGGAGACAATTATTGGTTATGCCTGATGATTTTGGTTATGAAATGGCCACTGGTGATGTGCAGTCAGTGCACGTTTATTTTGTACAGACTATTAGCAGCAACGCTATTTGAGAAAACAGATGTTTTTCATGCACATCTGCCAGAGCTGGGTCAACATGACTGTTAATAGATTTTCAGTGGAATGGTGTAAGGATGTGACCATGCAGTTTTATCATTTTTCAGAATTCTGTTGCCTTAATTTATATTCCAAGCAAAGATTTGTTAATTAAAGTTTTGTACTTCGCACCAGTGGAAGCAGGATTATCATGTACTAAGCCCCTGCTCCTTCCACTCTCTATGCAGGGTGTAGTTTTGCTGTGGTAGAATAATACCTGGTCTAACTACCTGGTTCTCAGTATGGTAATGAAGCCATTCATTTATTAATTGTGCTCTGTATGCACAAACCTGAGGCAGCTAAGGCTACATCTGTATTATGACCCAAGGACCCTCTTCAAGATCGTGCCTCATAATTAGGTTAGAGATCATGTGAAGGCTCTCATTATGTAAACAGATACTGTGCTTTAGTTTTGCATATTAGGGGGAAAAAAAATCATCTAATTAGCCTAAAGCAGGTGACACACAGTCATCTAGTTCAGGGCAGGGATGCACTAGTCCTATTGTTTCTGCTTGATCGGTCTCTACGCTGATACTGAGCTTTTACAACAGACTGGATATGACTAATCCACTGTACATACAATTCTTTGGCATGATAATTGTAAAAAATAAAAAAAATCAGTTTAGCTGCAATGAGCTTGATTTATTAAGTCACAGTTTTTAGCTGCAACCCATAACTTCATCAAAATGAGTTCCACAAAATGTAGTGTTCGGATTTTTTAAAAGTTTTTTTTTAAAAGAGGGTGGTAGCATCAGTGCATCTCTGTTCCTCTCTGTTAGTTGCCTTACTCAGCCTTGCAACTGTATTTTGCAGTGATTTAGTATTCAATTGCAATATCTAAAATGTCTACAACTAGTTTGATTAAAACTGCTACACTGACTTTAAACATAACACCCAGCTCCATCACACACATGCACCAGCACGGCTCCAGCCACCAGCTGCTGTCTCTCTACGCTCCATACGCACAGTCCTCTCACATTGAGGTCAGTGGGCAACTTGTCAATCAGCTGTGTTTGCACTTGCGTTTCAGACTCTGCACTGTTCTGACACTGGCACTGGAGCCGAAGGGATGATGGTGATGCTGAACACTGTTCTTTCTTCCTCTCAGAGATAACACTGTGGATCTATCTGCTGCTCACTCGTTACCTTGGTAACCACATTCTGACTAAGTCCCGTCTGCAGCTCCAGCCTCCACTCCTTGCAGGCGCACAGCAGACCGCTGCCGTCCCCGTAGCCCTCCACGGTGCTGTTGCCTTTGAGTTGCAGCGCGGGCGCGCCGCTGGTGGCGGTGACCGGCGGGGACGACACGGTCCAGTTACTGTCGTTGGCCAGAGGTTGCACACACGTGCCATTGGGTTGCGCCAAGAGGAAATAATCCGAAAACTGGCTAAAGCCGATGAACAATGCTGGTATCCAGGTCAGGACCACGAGCTGCTTCTGATGCTTCCCGAAGCCCCCCAGAGACGGCAGGACGGAGCCGTCGATGTGCGGCAGCAGCCGGGGCGCCGGGTGCTCCAGCGGGGTGAAGCCGTTCTCCGGCGGGTGGTCCTGCGCCTCCGGCCGGCCGGCTGCCATCACTACCCGGCCACAAAGAGAGCAGCTGTGTGCAACAGCGGGTGAAGCGGAGCCCCCGCTCTGTTGCCCTCCGCGCACTCTGCGTTAAGCCCTTTGACACAAAGGAAGCCCACAGCGCAGATAAATCCCGTGTGTAGCCAACAAAAGCCCAAAAAAGGGGGTCTCCGGTCCGTGCAGGCAATCACCGAGCTGTCTCCCTCATGGCGAGGGGACTCGAATCGACCAGGGGATGTCCGAGTGAGGAGACTGTGTCAGGAGGACGAGGCTGTGGAGAGGCTCCCTGAGAGCAGAGGACTCGGACAGGCAGGCATGCTCACCAACACGGGCTTTGTATTCCATGAGTACAGCTCCTACAGCGGCATCCATCCATGTGGGGCTCCAGTGTGCCAGGCCTGGTGCTTGTATGGAAGAGTGATCCTGAGCTTCATGCAGATCCTCTAAACATCTGCTGCTCCTCCATCCATGAACGCCACAGGTCTCATACCTGTCCAAACTGTGACCTGGAGGTGCGCATCATTTAACTCCTCGAGTCCAAAACAGCCGCGCTCTCAGACATCACCGGGCCACTCCGAGGTTGCCCAGTTCAGAGACGCCATGAAATGTACTGTGCTCGGTTTGTCGCCGTCTAGTCAATGGGACACGGTGCCAAAACGGGGCTTGGAGCAGAGATGGGGGAGACTAAACCCCGCCCTCCTTCGGTCGCGCTATGCGCTGCGATTGGAGAACCTTCAAAGAGCGACTGCACCACTGACGGGCATCTGCAGGCAACAATGATCCCCTTTGTGCAGCCTCTGCCCTCTGCACTGAATATAAAGCTTGTTAGGATCACTCAATCATTCATGTTTTCCACAGATTTCAGATGATTCATGATGAAGAGACAGAGTGAAGCTTCAGCTCCTTAAAAAAAATAACAATTAGGGCGGTTTGTGCAGATGCGTATTTTCCCGAATATCCTACGGAGGCAGTTTTGCGTCATATGATTTTTTTTCATAGCCGTCATATAAATAGGCAGCGGTACAAGTTACTGGTTAGGGGAGACAATAGAAGGATGAGAGAGGTTTTGGGTGGCGTGCTGCCTCTCAGCCGCGAGGGGGCGTCAGACGATCACAATACTTGTCCTTGCATCAGTTTGCCTCCTAATTAGACAATCAACACAAAATAAAAAATCAAAAAACAAGACAGAAATAAACTGCAGCTCACATTCCTGTACTATCAAAGGTGCAATGAGCCGAGGAAGGAGTGAGATGATGGGCCGTTCAGTGGAATTCAGTTGTGAGTGTTACTGTGACTGCAGCAGCTCCCTCATCACTGCCTCACAGTGACCTTGAGAATCCAGTGAGTGACACATTTCTCTCGGCACTGTGAAGCCTGCAGCCCAGGAAAATGTGATAAAACCAATGTGTGTGCATGTGTGAGTATGTAGCTGTGGGCTTGTATGTATTTACCCCTACAGCAAACAGTTTAGTCCTGGTGTGTGTGAATGACATGGAGCTGATATTCAGGGTGAGGTTGACAGAGGCGACTGGAGGGCTATAACTTGTGCTCATCTCTCACCTTCCTCCTCCTCCTCCTCCTCTTCCTTCCTCCTCAGAGACTTATTAAGGCTCAACACTGAGGAGCAGGAGACAGTTTGTGCATGTGTGTGTCTGTGTTACAGTCCTTGAACCACACCCATGTTCTAACATACCAGAGCTGACTCAAGTATTAATGAGGCTCTAAATAGAATGTAAGATCAGCCACATAAAGAATTTAACTGGATTAGATGAGATAAATTAAGCTCAGTAGTTTGATTACTTGAACTACACTGAGTTTGCTAATATATCCAAATAAGTGCTGTAAGGATTTAATACTGTTGCACACATAGTAGCTTCAAGGGGATCTTTAATAACCGCTAAAAATATTTTTAATTGCTCTTTCTTTGAGAGTGAGATAATAAGATGGATGTCAATTTCATGTATATGTAGAAGTACAGGACTAGGGGATGGATACGCTTAGTTTGGTGCCAAGACCAGAGGAATAGGCCAAAAATTAGCCCAGCTCTGTCCAAGCTCCAAAAAATACTCCTGCCAGCACCTGTATTAATCCATATCTTGCATCTCATTTGTTTAATTTCTACACAAATAGAAAGGCAGAAATGAGGGATACACACAACTACAGTGATTGGGTTGGGTTTAGCTTAGTGCGACCTGGAGGACAGTTTCAGTTGACAACGTTGCAGAGGCAAGAGGTCTTCAATTATGGCTATTTGGTCAGTTTAGTTATGAGGATGCTTAAGCTTCTGTTCTTTTCTTCTCTTTCTGTTTGTGACACTAAACGTAAGTGAAATGGTATTTTCAGTGATAAAACCTACAAATACATACTGTCATTTTGAGCATAGCTGGGTGCAGTACACTTCTAGAGCCTTTCTGTTACTGTTTTCATGAACGGAATACTAAATAGGTGTAACACACACAGGGGACCAAGGAGTGAGGAGGTGTCAAGTCAAGAGGCTTGATGTGACTGTGAAAATTTCTGGTTGGAAAGTTAATCGATCAGTCAATCAGTCAATCTCAGTGAGACTCGAAATGACTCAAAACAATTTTGAACAGATGCGACTCCAAATGGATGCAAACGACCAAGGAAGATATGCAAAATGACCACAAAGAGAAAGAACCAATTTAAAAGAAAGACGAAATAGGTACAAACAGATGCAAAAGGACCACTGCTAAATGCAAAGCATTGACAAATGGAGCAAAAATAACCACAAATACACTAAATAATTAAAAAGAGACATGAAATGAACACCAGTTAATGGCAGTTTACTACAAAGACTCATAAACTATGTTGCCATTGTCAAAACTGTGCTCACTGTCTCTTTATTTGTCCATTGATTTTGTTTTAATTATATGTAAACAAAGTACATGTTAATTAGTGAGATTTAGAGGATGTCACTTTTAACACTAGACAGAAATGGATTATCTGTCTCCCTCTGCCTCTGGTCTTTATGCTAAACTAAACTAATCCCTCCTGGATGTAGCTACATACTTAACCCCATAGACATGAGAACGATCTTTCATCTAACCTGAAAAAAAAGAAAAAACAAAACATATTTACGAAGGGGCCTGATACCTTAAAATTTGGATGTTTTGTGTAGCCACTTTATTACAAGACTTTTTTTTATTTACACACTAACCTATTTTTGCATTTTACATGATCCTGTGAGTATTTATTTTCCTTAATTAATCTGTTTTTACATCAGCAAAGCACTTTGCAAATGCAATTTTGAAAAGTGCTCAATGGTTTGTAGAAGAGAAAATTCAAACTGGACACTAGGACACTTGTTCACCATAAAATCCATCCATCAGCTATACCTGCTTTATCACGTAGAGAATTGTGGGAGCAGGAGTGTACCCAGGTTGACGTTGTTAAAGAGGCAATGCACAGCCTGAGCAGGTCGTCAGCCCATCACAGGGCCAACACAAAGAGACAGGCAACCAAGTGCACTCACATTCACACTCACAAATACAACCAATTTGAAATCAATATTTACCTGACCATATATGTCATTGTACTGTGGGAGGAAACTGGAGCACTTGCAGAAAACCCACATAGGCACATGGAGAACATGTAAATACATACATAAAGGCCAACCATCCCCAAACCTTCTTGCTGTGAGCCAATGTTGCTAAACACTACTCCACCATGGCGACCCCTCATTCAGTCACAATAAGTATCATGTTGGCATTTATGCTCGTCAAAGTTATTTATTGTTGCATTGCAGCACTTCACTTACAGATGCATTACCGTCCAAATTTAAGTGTGACAATAAAAAAAGAGAGCATGATGTTCACTGTGTTGAATATCTAATAGTTTACAAATTGTGAAATAAGTAAACCGTCTGAACAATCTGAACCAGGATTTTGTGTTTTTGGAAAACAGGTTTGGTAACATAAGCTTGGTTTGTAGTAAATTGCCTCAAATGTGCTGAAAGAGTGATAATCTTTTAATCCTTTCAAATTAGGTGACATCACAGACCATCTCTGCTCCACTGACGGACCTGAAATGAAAGAATTTCTCTGTATTCAAGCAGCTGGAGCAGCATCGTTTGTCTCCATGTGACCAGCGACCCAGATTGGTTCAGGTGTCATGTGGCAGCTCTCTGATGGCCCCTCCCTCCCACTCACTCCTTCTTCGCTGGTCCTCTCCCCAGTTGTGTTTCCATACCCCCAAGAGGCATATCCATATCAGCCTGCTGCACAGGTACACCACTGTTACAGGATCAGTGAGCTGCAGCACTCTACAACCTGCCTGCTCTCCTGTCCTTTACGACCATAAACCACCCAACAAGATACACAGTGGACACGTTCTTATATTCGTAAAAACTCCTGTAGGCTTACAGTGTGCTTAGATTAGACTGTTTATGTGCAGCTTTAGCACTAGCACTAATATCATATAAACCTGAAAGGAAACATGGGCAGTAGGACAGCCATGTTGAATCTGAGCACTGAGCTCATCTCAGTTTCTCACAGTTTCTCTGCACAGTCACCTCCTTCACCTTTGATGCCAACTCCCTCAGGCAATGAATGAGTCTTGTCTTTGTCTTATACTCTTTTATAAGCCCC